AATTCTTAAAAACAGCAAAGGCAATCTTTCCTCATAAAAATTAGTTTTTCTCTTTGAAATAAAGTTATAAAGGTTTTCTTGAATGAAGATATATGAAGGTTGATCAGGTTTATAAATGGGATGCATTCTGTCTATACCTTAACTAAGATATAGAACTTTAAGATTAAATTGGAGATAAAATTATTTTTATATTATCTGTCAATAGTGTTATCTTAGTTTTTACATGATTATTAACTTTGATAATACATTGTCACATGGTAAGGAAATACTGCTGGAAAGATCTGGCCTTAGTGTAAATAAATAACTCCTAAATTTTCAAAATGATCAGAAACATGAAAAAAGGATTAGGATAAATTTGAGAATATGTAAGCCAAAAAGTTCATCTAAATAGAATCTTAAAGAAATAGCTGGAATCTGATGGGCTCACCTTGACACCCCAGGCTAAGAGAAATCATAGCAGGCTAATTTCCAGTTAATGGAAGAAACTCTATCTGATGATAGTTTTTATTTTCTAGCTGCTGTTTCAAATTATCTTGTAAGTGTTCAAGTAGATTTTATGACACCCTCCTGTATGATTTAGGACTGGGAATACATATTTATTATAATTTGTATTATAACTAACAAAATTACCTCTGATCACTTATTGACAGTGAAGGATTGGAAACAGTTCCAAATAACACCTAATATGTAAATAAGCCAAATATATGTAAAAACTCTCTGCTGTTCTATTTTATCAGTCTGTAGTATAATCTTATTCAAATACTAGTAATTTAACTTAATCATGAATGAATGAAACAGAATTTGAGTTCTACCCATTTATAGTATTATAGTAAGTGTATTGTTAGAAATAATCAACAATCAAATTTGGGTATGGACCTATGTATATATTGCTGGAATTCGTATTAAGCAATAATGATCATTTTATATTCAGAATGATATTAAGACATATTTCTCTCCTTCTTAACCCCTTGGGAGAAGACTAGTTTTTATTTCCCTATTTAGAGGCTTTTTTTTGTCTTTTTGGTATTTTTGAGACAGGGTCTCCCCATAGCCCCAGCTGGCCTGGAACTCACTATGTAGACCAGACTGGCTTTGATCTCACAGAGATCTGCCTGCCTCTGCCTCCCGAGGGCTGGTATTAATGGCATGCACCATCAGGCCTGGCCCTTCAGAGGCTTTTAAAAAAATGAAATAGCTGAGTAACTGGCCAAGAAAATGCTTGAGTTTTCTAAGAAAAGCCCCTGTAGTACTCGCAGAGCAAGGGCCACTAAGATCATTACCTAGGAAGAATCCTCCCTGGTCCCCTCTGTTAAAACTCATGAGAAGCAAGCTTGCAGGTACCATAACTAATAAAGCAGGGTACACTTTGAGTCTGCTGCATCTTTTCTGTAAGACTGTGATTAAGAATTCTACCTCTTCTATACAGCTGTTACTGTGCTGTACTCTAATATCTTCCCTAACACTGAATTTGTTACATCATATTGTATTATGCGGTTTGCGCCACTGATTTTTAAACTATGATTAACTTCTTGCCATTTAAAATTATAATACTGACTTTATTTGAAAAACAAAGAATTTAGGAATACTAAGGATATTTTATTTTTGTAGACAAAGGTAAAAAAGAGCTATTTAAGAAACATGTTACCTATATTAACAAAGATTTGTAAACAAAGCAAAATCTTTAAACATATTATCTGCTTCATGATTCTTTTGATGTTACTTTCTCAATTATGCTAAAATTAAGTAGCCTTTTACCTGAACTGATTTTTGTCGTGTTCTTCATTGTATAAACTACAGTATTTGAACAGAAGCCTAGTTCATTGGTCTGACTTGCATTTGGATAATTATGTGTTCTTTCATGTGACTATTAATACACAAAAGGTAAATATCAAAACAGTGCTGAAATAAAGTATAAATCAAAATGTATTCTTAGATCTACCCTTAAATATTATGTCTTAAAACTTGCAAAAATCAAGTACCTATAATTATATGCCTCCAATAAAAATTGTTTATCTGAAGTTTAAAACATTAATTCAGCATGTAATGGTTTCTCATCTGGTATGTAATAATGCAGTGTTGCTCAAATTACATTATGACCAGTCATCTTAAATGTACAACAGTGTTCTGAGCTGATTATATCTAATAGAAATTACTATTAAAGAAAATCTCCCCCACCCATCATTATAAATGTTGTGTTCTCCTTAAAGCTTTTTAAAACATTTCAGCCTTAAATTTGTTTTCCTTCCCAGTTTGAAAACCCAAAACTCTCTGCATCTTTGTATCATACTCTGCTTTGAAACTGTCTGTGGATGTGCTTAGTTTGTCCATTGTCTAAACATGCCTTTTACCTAAAAGGTTCTTAAGGTACAGAGAAACAAAGACATCATCTGCCCAAAGTCTGGGATGCTTAGCAGGCATTCAGGGAATTTGTTTCTCTCCTTTAAACTAGGAAGTGATTGGGTTTGTGGTGTTTTTTTTTTTTTCTTTTTATAAT